ACCCGGGGAGGCCCCGGGCTCTCGGGAGGGCGAGGGGGAGCCTCCGGTCCCCGGGGAGCGCCGGTCCCAGACCAGAACCCCAGACCCCGGTGACGCCCTCCCTGCCGCTGCCTGCGGGGACGGGAGGGCGGGGCCCGGCCTGTCGCTGCGGTTTCCTGAGCGCCCACACCTGGATCCACTCTTACCTGCACCGTGCGGACTCCGACCAGGACAGCAAGATGAGCTTCAAGGAGATCAAGAGCTTGCTCAGGATGGTCAACGTGGACATGAACGACATGTACGCCTACCGCCTGTTCAAGGTGGGCAGCCCGCCCCCTCCCCACTCCCACCTCTGCCTTCCTCTTCCCCCGTCAGAGCCACCCCTCCCTGCAGAAAGGCACCCTCGGGGCCGCTTAGCCTTCTCTGCTCCGAGACCACTGAGCCCGACAGGATTGGGGAACCAGCCCACGAGTGAGGAGACCCCTCCCCATCCCTCCCGGGAGGCACCTTTCGCACACAGGAGTGCAGATGGGGGTCAGCCTGCAGACACGTATGACACATGGTGCACCCTCCTCCGTGCAAGATGCCTCCTGCGGAGGAGCACAGGGGCACCCTAGTCGGCTGCCCATCTGTGGCCCAGGTGGACCCTGTGGCAGACACCTGTGTGGATGGTGATGGTGTGACCAGCCTGTGACCCTGAAAGACAGGCAAGCCCACAGCACCTGGGCCACAGCTCCACACAGACTGCTTCATGAATTTTTTTTTTTTTTTTTTGACTCAGAGTCTCCCTCTGTTGCCCAGGCTGGAGTGCAGTGGCACACTCACAGCCACCGCAGCCTCGACCTTCAGGTGGTCCTTCTGTCTCAACCTTCCAAGTAGCTGGAACCACAGGCACGTGCCATCATGCCTGGCTAATTTTTTTTATTTATTGCAGAGATTAGGTCTCGTCAGGTTGCCCAGGCTGGCCTCCAACCTCTGGGCTCAGGCAGTCCTCTCGCCTCGGCCTCCCAAAGTGCTGGGGTTATAGGCATGAACCAACAGGCCCGTCCTTTTTTTTTTTTTTTAAAGAGACTAGGGTTTGGCCAGGCTCGGTGGCTCAGCCTGTAATCCCAGCACTTTGGGAGGCCGAGGTGAGTGAATTGCCTTAGCCCGCGGGTTCGAGACCCACCTGGGTAACTTGGCGAGACCTCATCTCTACAATA